AGTAGTGTATAATTGTGAAACAACTAGGTTCACTGGTCCATATTTACATATACTTCCTAGTGAACAAGTACTATATGTTTGTCCCTTACAGTTCTCTAAGACTTCATCTCTTTTTCATAAGTTCTCAGAAATAATTGCCAACTATTCACCATCACTGATGATATAGGACTCTAGAGTAAATGCTTATTGATCCAGCTCATTTGAATATGTTTTGGACAGTCTTTAACCTTTTCCTTTCTCTCATTAACTATAGGCCATTTTCCATCCCTTCACCTAGTGGACAAAAAAAGGAGAAACAGCCACCCACTTTTAGGGGCAGGAAGCTGCACAGAGAGGAAAAGGTAGCTGCATAAGATATGCCTCTCTCTTTCCATCATGGTAGTGATGAAGCCCAGTTTGCCATAGTGGAAAGGATCTGAAACAGAGAGAAGTGGAAGAATCTGAAGAATAACTGTGTACATATCGTATTTCTCTTAAAAATAGGAAAATGAGTGTGTAGATCACTGGAAGATAGTGATGTTTTTCTTTCTTATGGGAGGAGTCTGCACAAGCAGGGCCACAGAAATGACAAAAATTAACATAGCAGGACGGGGACACTGACTGCATCCTTAAGGCACACTTCAGAGCATTTGGCCTTATGATTCTATTAAGTCTTCTGTAACAACTGTCTTTTCCAGTAAAGGCTGAAGAAAGTACCTGCTTTCCCTTTGGTATGTTTCTTGCTTTCTTTTGCTGCTAGGCAGTGAACTTTGCTTTGGCATCTTCTTGTTCCTGACTTAGGATTATAGAATCGTAAAACCAGAGGGGATCTGTAAGATCATCAAGTCTGGTCCCCTGCCATGGGCAGGAAGTTATTGGGCTCAGACAAGCTCAACAAGGTGCCTGTCCATCCTCCTCTTGAACACCTACAAGGATGGTGACTGCACCACCTCTGCTGGGAGTGTGTTCCAGATTCTGGTAACACTTACAGAGAAGAAGCTCTTCCTTATATCTAGCCTGAGTATATCTAGCCTCTTCCTTATATCTTATCCTCTATAAGCTTATGTCCATTGGTCCTTGTCCTCCCTTGAGGTGCCTTCTTCAAGAGTTGCTTGCCTAGATCTTGGTGTTCACCCCTGATGTACTTGTAAGCAGCTATCAAGTCACCTTTCAGCCTTCTCTTACTCAGACTGAAGAAGCCCAATCCCAGAATCTCTTCTTACAAGGCCTACCCTCCATGCCCTTGACCATGCAGGTGGTCCTTCTTTTTCACCCTCTCAAGCTTAGCTATGTCCTTCTTGAAGTACAGTGCCCAGAACTGGACACAGTACTCTACCTGAGGCCTCACCAGTGCTGAATAGAAAGGGAGGAGCACTTCCCTGGAACTACTGACCACACATTGGCTGATGCAAGCCAGAGCTCTATTTTCTTTCTTGGTGACCTCATTGCACTGCTGGCTCATATTCATTTTCCAGTCGATCGTAACCCCAGGTCTCATTCAGATACTGTGCCAGCCAGTGGACCACCACCCATTGTGTAGTTGTAGTGAGGGTTCTTCCTACCCAGATGAAGGATTTTGCACTTATTCCTGTTAAACCTCATCTGTTTCTATTTCACCCATGAGTCCAGTCTGTCAACGTCATCCTGGATCCTGACCCTATCCTCCAGTGTGCCCACATTTTCCCACAGCTTGGCATCATCCATAAACTTAATAACTGAGCTTTCTACACCCTCATCCAAATCATTCATTAATATATTAAAGAGTATGGGTCCAAGAACCAAACCCTGGGAGACACCACCAGAGATGGCCCTCCAGGATGTGGTCATCCCATTGATTACAACTCTCTGGGAGTGACCTCTAAACCAGTTGTCCACCCACCTCACTGTAGACTGGTCAAGTCTAGCACCCTCAAGTCTGTTTGAGAGAATCCTGTGCAAAACAGAATCAAATGCTTTACTGAAGTCTAAGTATATCACATCCACCTCATGTCCCTTGTCCACATGGCTAGTTACCTGGTTGTAGAAGGACACAAGGTTTGTCAGGCATGATCTACCCTCAACAAAGCCATGCTGATTGCTTCTTAACACCCCATTCATTTCCAGTTTGCAAACAATGACCTCCTTCCTAATTTTTCAAAGATATTACCCAGGACCGAGGTCAGACTGACTGGCCTATAGTTTGAAGGGTCATCCCTCTTCCCTTTCTTGAAGATGGGCACCATGTTGGCCTTCTTCCAGTCATCTGGGACCACTCCTGAGTTCCACAGATCTTCAAACAATGTGGCCAGTGGTGCTGCTATTACCTCAGCCAGTTCTTTCAAGACTCTTGGGTGCTTCAGCTGTTCAAGACTCATTTTGTGTAATTTGTTGTCTTCCTGATGTTCCCCAGACCTCTGATCAGGTAAACAGCCCCCATTTGATTTCAGGAATACTGACATGAAGTATACATTTTAGGAGCTTGGCTTTTTCATGGGCATTGACTCTGGGCTACCTCTCAGCATTCAGTAGGGGTCCCACAGTACAGCCTGACCTTGTCTTGTTTGCGTGCTTGCAGCAGCTCAAATAGAAGCTGTGCAGTTTTGAGCCGGGGCCTTTTGCCTCAGCGCATGTGCTCAGACATGCACTTTGTTGTGGGGCAAATTGTGCCACTTGGGGCAAAATAACCCTGCCTGGCTCCTCCCGGATCTGCAACCGGGGGAGCTAGAGCCCAGGGCCAGCACCTGTCCACATGGGCAGGCAGCATGCTTCAGCACCAGGGTGAGGGCTAACCATAGAGACACTCTGGCAGCCAGAGGGTCTCTATGGAGGACCCAGTCTCTGGTTGCCTCAGTACACGGTCTGGGACCGTGCCCTGCCCCACTTTTTTTTCCGCAGGGTTTTTTGACCCCTGGATATCCAGGGGTCTAATTTTGCCCCGCGCTGCAAACTTGCAGCATGGGGAACATTTTCTCGTTCCTGCATGTGCCACTTGCAGCATCTCAAGGGGGTTTGAGATGCTGCAAGAAGCACATGCGGGCTCATCTGGACATTCCCTATGTATCTGTAGAAGGACTTTTTGTAGTCTTTTATTCCAGTTGCCAGCTTGATCTCCATGCCTGCCTTGGCTTTCCTTGTCTTGTATCTGCAGGCCCTGGCAATACAGGTGTATTCCTCTCTGGTTGCCAAGTCATTCTTCCATTGTTTATATGCTTTTTTCTTTTTCAAAACTCTCTAATATTCCTGTTGAGACAAGCGGGTCCATTGGCTCCTTTCCTGTTTTATGCCCACTTGGGGATGGCCTGTGTTTGGGCTGTGAGAAATGCCTCCTTAAGGAAGCTCCACCATTCCTGAACTCCCAAGTCAGCCAGTTGCTGTTTGCAGAGGCCTATCCAACTAACCTCTTGAGTTTGCCAAAATCTGCCTTCTTGAAGTCCAAGACTTCAGTTCTGCTGTGATTTCCCAGTCTTATGGTGGATGGTGAACCTGTCTTCATTTCCCACTGGGTTATCCTGGACCTGTAGTGCTGAAAGAACCTGCAGTTACTATTTAGATTATGACAACACTCAGAGGCCCCACCCAAGGCAGGGCCCCACCCAAGGCAGCACCTTTGCATAATGAAAGCACGGTCCATGGCCCCAGGAGAGGACAATCTAAACAGGCAAAGGTTGGAAGAAGGGTGGGATTTCCTGCTTTGAAGATGGGCCCGCTCAGCATCGCACAAGTCTGTGGCCCAGTTTGGAACCTGACCCAGGCCTCCTGAGTCCCTGAGCCTTGGCTGCAAACCCTGCTTCTTCACAGCAAGGTGGAAGTTAGCAGTGGATCCCATCCCCCAGCAACAGAAGAGGCCTGTTAGGGACAAAGACATGGTTGGGTGACCACAGCTGGGAAAGCAAAGATTTATTGGGGTGGTATCTGCAGTTGGATCAACTGCCAGCTGCCTAGCTGGGGTAGTGTTCGAGGAGTTAGAGGCTCCCTGCAACTTGCTGTCCCAAAGCCCCTTGTCCTGCAGGACCCTTCCTCAGCACCCCCGCCTTCCCCTGCCTGCAGCTGGGCATAGGGGGCACAGGGAGACCCCTCTGCCCTGGGACTGGACAGGAGGTGCCTCAGGGCAGGGCTGGGTGCTCACTGCACCTCGTCTGGAGCAGCAGGATCCAAAGACATGAGGGGCTGGAAGGGACCTCACAAGTTCATCGGGTGCAGCCCCCTCCACTTGGACAGGAAAGGCTGCTGTTGGGAGCTGCAGAAAGGAGGGGGCTGCAGCTCCCCCTCCCCCCAGGGATCCTGGGCATGAGGGAGACCCCTGGGAGCTGCCCCAGCCAGTCCCCGGGGCACATCCCCCTGCCCCCGCAGCCCCGCCCCGCCCCGCCT